GGACGCCCCAGCACATCAACAACCGATGAAAACGTTGAGAAAATGAAGAGAATTGTTATGGAGAATCGTGGAATCACTATTATTGAAGTTGTTGAGGATGTCGTCATATCGGTTGGCACATCTATGAAATTTCTTCGAAAATTTTGGACATGAAGCGTAAGGCAGCAAATTTCGTTCCAAAGTTGCTGAATTTTTACAAAAAAACCGTCGCATTAGCATCGCTCAGGAACAAACTTGTCGAAGCAGAAAGCGGAATTGTCTGCCCTGACATTATTATATCCGGTTCGGAGACATTTATCTTCTTGGAGAAAACCGATGCCTAGGGTTTTGTGGTATTGAATTGAACCTGGTTGGTTTCATTCCATTTCGAAATCACTCCTAGATCCTCATTAAGATATGCAACCTCCTAATGCCGGTTAGGATGTGTATCCGCAGCTGATGTCCTGGAATCCAAATGGAATGACGAGTCAAGTATGCTGTTGTCAGCTAAGCAATATATTGGATTCTTGTTTTTTTCCAATAAGTGGTTGATATGCAATAAAAAGAGCATTGGAGACAATATGAATCCCTGGGGAACACCAGCGTTTATGGTGAAAGTATTCGAGAGATATCCATCAACGGCCACTTGAAGGAAACATCTCATCGAAGTTTGGCCAGCAAATCTCATGCCACACACAGCCATATTGATGATCGCTCAACATGTTGAAGCCTTCCAAATATTTCAGGATATGGTGGTTTATGACTTTCTCCATGATTTTTGATATCACTGATAGCAAAACGACTTGTCTATAGTTATTTGAAAGATTCTCCTTCCCCTTTTTGGGAATAGGCTGACCTCGAGCAACCTTTTAACAAGAAGGAAAAACCCTTTTCTTGTAAGACAGATTGAAAAGTCTGCAAAATACTGGTTCGAGTTCATTTGCGCACTTCATCAGGGTTGCCTTCAACCTGACTTATAAAAAATGAGTAGTTTCACTTTTTGTAAAGGAACAAAGCAGAGTTCTTAGCCGACCTCTTCTTTGTTGAGGCAGTTTTCCAGTTCTCTTCTCGGTCTCCGTACCAAAAACTTTGGTTTCCCGACAACTGGTTCATATCCTATGGAGTTGATAATCCATATCTGGCACACTCATCAACTGGCTGTCCGCTAGTTTCCTCAGTTCTTCGCGGAATTTCCAAACCTGTCTTCGTCAGTGCCCCAAGTGCAGCCTGAAAGACTGATGTGTACTGACCGAGGGGGTTATTGAAATGTACATTTCTCTCTGCACAGTAAATTCCAGCTCCCGTTTCATGTTCGGTTTTCGACCCTTCGGTATATCAGGTGTTCCTGCCGAGCATGTGCTCAGAATGACTGTTCATTCTTCACTGTGTCGTACAGGTATTTCTCTGTCATGTGGTTCGAGAACATGTTTTCTCCACATATCCAAAAATTCCTGTTCTATCCGATCCCATGTGAGTTTTCCAGTCTGAACTGGTCCACTCTTGCCTCCCCCATGATTACTTAGTGTAAAGAGGGAAGATTCAAAAGTGTCTCCAATGCAGCTGGAGAAGTGGTTTTCGTTGATCCCTTTATTTCCAAACATGCAAGTCTCTGCACCCTTCTTATTTTGTTGATAGCGGTTGTTTGTTTCATCTTCGGCCACCATACCATAGTTGCATATGTTACCATGGGCTTAACCACCATGGTGTGTAACCAATACGTCATGTCTGGTTTAAGCCCCAGTGTCTTTCTGTAGGTGTGTCTGGCTAGCATCAGTGGTCATTTCGCCTTTTTTTTTAACTCTTTCCAGATGTAGGTTCCAGTCCAGATGTTGGTTCCAGATCAGCCTGAGATCTAGCATTACTTTCAGATATTTAATCTTCCGCGACATAATTATCTCTTCACCTCGAAGTTTCAAAGATCCTAAGCCGTCTGTTTTGGATCTCTTGGTGTCGATTTGGTTGGGCTCATCTCCAGCCCTAAATCTACGGTTAAAAAAAATCTGTTTAAAATATGTTTTTCCGTTAATCAGCTGTTTAGGTTATTATATTTAGGGCATGCATAAAATACTTACTTTTTGAGTTATTTGTGAAAAACCGTCTGAAAGCATTGAGTTTATTTGTTGAAAAATTGGTATTTTCACTCTCAAATGAATCAAACAGTGTTGACTTTCATAAAAAAGGAATCCCTGGTACAGGGTCAGCTCTGAAGTGGACTTAGAATCTGAATTGATTTTTTGTGCAAGTATGTACTGTTTGTCAAAACTATACAATATCGTCGTATTTTATCTCCTGAGATTGAAAAAATTGTAGAATGTCTCAAATACGAAACAAATAATTCGGTAACATAAAATGTTCATGCAAACTGGGGAAAAGTTGACTATGTTTCATTTGTTTCAAGGTAATTCTGAAGATGCTTTGTTCTTCTTCAATATGATTACGGTTGTGGCAACTTGTAATACTGTAAACACGTTCGTTCTAAAATGTCAGCGAAAGCATGCAGTAATGGGCATTCGAGTATACGCTCCCATGAATAGGAATCACGTATTCTTTATTTGAAAAAAATATCTGTCAACTTTTCGACCAGCTGAAGAAGAGAAAATACCTTTCTTAAAGCTGATGATTTCATAAATAAATTTTATTATTTGAAGTGATACACATGCGTTTGGAAAATCTAGAGATAGGATTGTGTCAAATAAAAAGAAACCTGGGCTCCTATTCGTTAAAATTATGTCCATTTTTTCGATGATGGAATTTACTATATAAATAAGCTACCCAATAAGTGAATTGTATAACTGTCGAAGTTAGTTTTTGATGTTGTTGGCAGTGGTTTTACAAGTTTTTATGCCCGACGTTTCGTCTACCGTAGTCATATACGAAAAGTCTGAAATCTGCAGACCACTGCCAACAAACCGGAAAAATAGCTTTGACATCGTTATCTCCGGCATCAATTGTTTAAGAAATGTTTAATAATGTACAATATTAAACAATAATAATGGAATCGACAAGTGAGAACAATAGGGCGGCGATTCACTTATATCTTAGTAGAAGTAACAAGAAGGGCTGCAAAGTCAAGAACTATCAAACATATGCGACGAAACAAGTAAGATAGGTCTGGAAAATACTGAAATAAATGTTCGCATTCTCACGAGGAATGGAGCCTATTAGAAATACCTACCTCTACATTAACAAAACTGAAATTCCGGCCTGTAATCACTTTGGAGCTGAAATATCAAGTTCAATATAAAAAACGAAATAAGAGACGTCATTTAATTTACAGGGTGTTCCAATAGGGACTTCTGAACTTTGACAATTCATAACGGCCATCTTGTTGAAGCTTCATCTGCCAAATAAGTCGCCATTTATTCAGTCTGTTTTGCCAAATCACCATGGACGGATGTAACATTCAAATTGGTGTTCTGTTTGGGCAACGTACCGCGCGCTTCGCCCATTTTACGGTCGTCATAAATGTCCTACCGAGAAGCCTATTCGCAATGTGGTAGATAATGATGAGTCCACTGGTTCAGTAAACGATTGACACCCGTACGTCTACGAAAAGGAAGATATGCCGAAAACATCGCTGCTGTCTGTGAGAGTGTGCCGGAGAATCCGAGGCAGTCTAATGCATCCCACAAAAGTCACTGTCTGGTGTGGATTTTGAGCTAGCGGCGTCATCGGACCATATTTATTTGAGAACGATGTTGGACACTAACGACATGTGGTTTCAATAGGACAGCGCTACGTGCCACATAGCTCATGCCGTATTCGATATTCTGCACGAGCGATTTGAGAGCATGATCATCTCCGCACTGCACTTGCATGTGCTCTGCCAATGCGAAGCGATAGCAAGGCTGAGACACGCAAGATCCCTGGAAGAGAAACCAGAGGCTGCCAGCTATATGAAGGGATCAGTGGCAAGGATATGGAGTCTCATCAAATAGATCAAGCTAGACAATGAGCTGTAACAACCAAGGAGCATCACAATAAATCTGAAATGGTCGCAGTGAATCAGGCTTTGGGCTAGCTCCCCGATAATCTAATCTAATGGTCATCTCACATGGAAGTGATGTGAACTGGCCATCGAGATCGTGCGATTTGACCCCGTTAGACTTTTTCTTGTGGGTTTTTCTCGAGTCGCAGGTATATGCGAATGAGCTACAAACCACAGCGGTTTTCAAAGCCGACATAACCCATGCCATCTGTCAAATTCAGCTTGATTCATGCGCCAGAGTCATGGAAAATTGGACGTTGAAATAGGAAGCGTTTAATGAAAAATCCTTTATCAGATAGTTGCTTGGGATTCCTGAAAAAAGAAATGCCTACTCAGTGATGGGTACCAATGACAGGCAGACCTAGAGAGAGAAACCCATAGATGGGAAGGAAACATGTTTTTGGGCCGCACTTACAAGCCCTACTAAAGTATGTGCAATAACCCCAAGGCATTATATAAGAGAAACATGTGCCGTGGCAAAATAGAAGCAAGAAATGCTTTGTTCAGTTCATTACACTACCAAAGTATCAGCTCAGTGATTCGTTCAATAACTTGCATGACATGAAGATATTGATACCTAATTTGAAGTATTGAGAAGAGCTCGTGAAACGTTGGTTTTTTTTCTCAATCCAGCAACGGTGTTATCAACAAACATAATAAATTAAAGTCGTTTACCTATTGAAACAGATCATTAGCAAATAAAAACAAGTAATGGTCCAAGAATAGAACCCTAGGGAACACTCATTCTGCTCCTCGATATTTCGAAATTCAAGAGCATTCATTTAGCCCCAAATTGAATTTGCATTGTATATCAGTACCTATATAATTTCTTGTTACACTCACTTGTTACACTCATTCTGCTCCTCGATATTTCGAAATTCAAGAGCATTCATTTAGCCCCAAATTGAATTTGCATTGTATATCAGTACCTATATAATTTCTTGTTAGAAGTAGTGATACAGCTGTGGATATAGTATTCGCGTTATTCTCGTGGATTCTCAATACCCATTTACGATTTGTTTTTTTTTTTCAGGCGGATGCATCGGTTGACATGGCCGAGCGCCATTTTTATGCTGCGAGCATGGACTATGTGTATCTAATCCAGGAAGTTCACGAGAGAAAGAAATTTGAGTTTGTCGAAACGCTGCTGGCATTTGTTTATGCATGGTTCACATTCTACCATCAGGTAATGGCAGTTTATAAATAGAAATACTGTTCATTGTTTCGATAAATCAGTCCCCTTATTTTACTAACAGCAGTGCAATGGGTTTTAATAATAACAAACGTCGAAGCGACCCACTTTTCAGAATATCAGAAAATATTTTGTAAATAGCATCGAATATTCAACATTTATAATTTGAAAAATTGAACCTACTGTTCAGTAAGGGATACATAATTTTTGAACAGTTTTTCGGGGTCTATAAGTAAAAAAAAAACTAATGGCATTCAAACATTTTGCTTCGTCCTGTAAACTTTTTCTAACAAATATAATGCTTGTCTGGTTTTCGGATGGAGATTGGTTGGCCAGTATACCGTCTACTTATATCTTTGTCACATTTTTTCGGGGACATAAGAACGTCATATTTATTAGTCTTCGAGATTTTAATAGATCCTGCTCAGTTTTTCCAAAAAAAATTGAAAAATCAACCATAATTTTGTTAGTTATTTCCTGAAACAAAATAACGCCGGCCGCCACTGGTTTTCGTCAATCGATTGTGACTTGGTCAAGGTCGGGCTCAACTCGCTGCTTGATCTTTCTAGATGTCGCGTCGCTTCGAGAGACTTCCAGGACTTCACTATCGGCATCCAGTACGATATATAAACACTAACAACAGACAGATCGAGGAAGTCTAGTCAAAAGTGAAGTACGAAGTGATCTAATAAGGCGTAATAAGGCGTACTTGTAGCAATGAAATAATGTTGAGATTGATTGTACAGTGTAGTCAATTATTGTCAGACTCATGACGAAAACATGACAATACTTATTTAGCGTTTGTCCTGTCCCATTTTTTTCAAAGGAAACTTACTTTTTAGGCAATTCTATGTGTGTAAAAGCCAAATGGAATAAATTCATTATTTCGGTTACTGCATATATTAAAAAAAATCCCGTCAAATGTAAATTATAATTTGACATTCTTCAACGTTTTCTGATTGGATATTGTTATCAAACATGTCCATCATTTGCTCACAAAAATGTGTTCTTCTATCAAATTCGTCTTCCATGAGCTCCTGAGTAGATATTATTTTATAGGGATGCATTTTATTTTCTTTTAATATCTGTACTATCGATGTATGGCTAACATTGAATGTAGTGGATGCCTGTCTACTCGATGTATGTGGGTTTTCCTCAAATTCAAGCAATACATCTAATTTGAGTTCATCACTCATTGCATTGGCAGCTGCTTTTTCTTTGTGCCCCATATGATCAAGCACGCGAAATTGTTTCTCTATTTTGCTTATTGTTCCTCTATTTTGCGTATTGTTTGTGAGATCTTGAGATATGGGCGGTAAATCAGGAAATTTTTCATGGAATAGGCGAGCTACTTCCTGTTGTGTTTGGGTTTTATCTCCGTAACCAATCATTTGCAAAACTATTATTTTATCCATTTCCGTTAATCTAACCATTTGTCAGACTTGAAGTTAACAAACTTTGAACTTAAATTAAAATACTGTAACACACAAAACAAGTTGACAAGGCGTTTTAAACTAACGTTGCCACAGAAATTATTTACAGTTTTTTAAAGGATTCCATCTAAAAAGAACATTGCCATGATTTTGGCTTACTTTTTTATTATCAATACCTCAACATGAAATAAGTTTTGAGTATATTGCAATAAGTTTTGAATGTATTTTATGGAATTTCGGTAACCACATGATTTTTATTTTATCTTAATTGTTACAATGAACTTGAAAGCGATAACAGTTTTGAATAGAGAGTGAAAAGTCCTTTCAAACGATATATCACAAACCTATACTTCCCATTTCAAAAATGGGGGTTGTACCTGTCATTCGAAGGGGGTTGAAGGTAGGGGTGGAATTTTTACGTTGAAGAATGTCAAATCATAATTTATATTTGACGCGTTTCGAGATTTTTTTTAAATATGTACCGTAACCGAAATAATGAATTTATTCCATTTGGCTTTTACACACTGTATGAGTATCTTTGTAACAGTAAATATCACACTTCCTTTTGGTTTTTGGTAAGATCGTTCCTTGAGTGAATTTTTATTATTATTTCATTTTGTCTATGTCAATTGATCATTTATTACCTGGGCTGAAAAGTCTGATACCTAACACGATGGCGCTAGTCTTATGGCATTCACTGTTTTTCAGTTAGTAATAACTAACTTTCAGAAGAAAGCTGTTGAACATGATATTCTACTCATAAGTTCATACTTTCGTTATTTTCAAGACAGTGGATCAAAAACAATTTCGTGTTTTAATTTTACGCGACTTCTTGATGGGAAAAAATACCGTCAAAGCGAAGCAATGGCTTGAAAAGTGTTATAAGGACTCCGCTCCATCAGAAACAACAATAAAACTTTGGTTTGCTGACTTCAAACGTTGTGGGAGACACCGGTGATGCAGAACGCAGTGGGCGTCCAAATGAGGTAGGTTGGTCTAAAGTGAGTGGGTCTATTCGACCCTCCACCGCAACCCACAAGGGGTTATTGTGGCTCACACCTATCAACACTCGGCCACTCGGCTTCTTAACGAAGCCGATTTGTTTTTATGGTGTCAGATGGTGAGAGTACGGATCTGCCGAGCTCTAAGAACCTGATTCGGTCCCCAGCGGGGCAGGCACAAAGTATATGCTCTGCTGTTTCATCGTTTTCCAGACAGAGGCGACACACACTGTCTTCCGACAGTCCAAGTATCTGCATGTGATGATTCAAATAACAGTGACCTGTAAGAAGGCCTGTTAGACATCATAGTTCATCCATACTGTAGTCCAACATCTGTTTGGTTTCAAGCTTCGAAGGGTGAATAAACGCCTTGGAGTGAGCCAATCCTGGAAGTTTCGGCCAGAAGTCCGTAAATCTTCTTGCCATCCAGGTGTTCAGTGTTTGTTTGGCAAAGCCCAAAGCGATGCCAATGACAGGTTCTGGTCCGATGAAGCCGCTTACAGCACCCTCCTTTGCAAGTGAGTCAGCAGTTTCATTGCATTTCAGGCCAATATGGCCAGGAATCCAGACCAGAGACAATCTGTTAAGTCTTCCTATCGAGGAGAGTCGTTTTTGGCAGTTTGCTACCAATTTAGACGTTGCTCGGTAGGAGCCAAGAGCTTCCAACGCCGCTTGACTGTCCGAGAATATTTTTTTGACATGTGAGTGAGGTTGGATTCATCGAATCTCTCCGCACACAATTCATTAGCGTAAATTTCCGCTTGAGTCCAGAGTTCCAGAATGCTGTCAATGTCAACCAACAGTATGTTGCACTCTACCAAATGAGGTAGTAACACCAGAAAACACGAAAAAAAATCCACAAAATCGTTTTGAACGATCTAAAAGTGAGTAAGTCAGCTGACATTGTGAAGGTATCGAAAGAATGTGTTGGCTTCATGTTGCATGAGCTGTGAGAAAGCTCTGGTCAAAGTGGGTACTGCTCGAGCTAATTGTTGACCAAAAACAAGAACATCTTGATGATTCTGAGCAGTGTTGACTCATGATTTTTTACTGCAGGTGTTAGTGAATTCCTCAATCTCCATCATAGAAGAGACTCCGGAGACATATATTGCGTATTAGCGAAATCCTTTTACTTTTCACAGTGTTTTGAAATGCGGGACCGTGATGAAATGAACATACTACAAAAGAGTACTTTTGGAGTTTCGTAGATTTATACCTTATTCTTGAGATACTCGTACTTTCGAAAAATCATTTAATTTTTCCAAAAGTGCACCACTAAATTTGGTAACATTTGTGGCTCTTAAGTAGTGGTTTCTTTCTCTATTCCTATTGCATAATCAATTTTCCTGTCAATTCAGATAAGGAATGAGTTTATCCTATGCACAGGTAAGATCGAGATGATTTTCATTTAGTCCGCTTTTATGTGCAGCTCGTAAAATATCGAATTTTATTGCCTTTTAACGCGTGTATGTGTCGTCGGGTTTGTTTACCAGACCAGTAAATGAGGTGATAACAAAAAAATCACACCACAGCTGTGACTATTGATCATGGAGTAACTAGGACACTCTAATAGATACTGAAATACAACAAAGATCAAGATGAGTTTGTCATATGCATATACACAATTTTATAAATAAAGTCTAATTTTAATGCAAACTAAAATAAAATTGGACATTCTACCAATGAAACTGTTCATGTAATTTTTAAAAGGTGGTAAAAGTTTATGGTGTGAGTTTATTGAAGCTTGAATTGACCCAAAAAGCTTGTGTATATAATGTTAGTAAAAATATTTTAGTAGCTGTCAAAACTGAATTTTTCCAATTCTATTGTTTATCTTTTCAAAGTCTTTTGAAAGTGTTCTCTGTATCTGTATCTGAGTAGCCTAAGTGCCCACAGCACTTAGGCTACATGTGATCCATTGTACATCTTCCCGAGGAGTCCAGGTCATCGTCCATCCTGTCCTTTCCAGAAAGGTGAACAGGTCACTGTGAGACATTTCCTTTATATCAGCAGGTGTAGGCCAAGACTCGCCGAACACACACTCTCTTATTGACGATAACTCTGGGACTCGCATAGGACATGCCTGACAGTCTCATCTTCCTGTTCAGACATCCTGCATAGAGGTGTGTCCACTAGCCTCATATTATGGAAGTGTTTCCTTAGTCGACAGTGGCCAGTCAGAAATCCTACTATTAATCGTAGATTTTTTCTAGTCATTGCCAGATATTTCTTCGGCGCCAGCCTCCCAGGGTCGCCCAAGGTGATCCTGACAAGATTACATCTTTTGGTTGCTGCTGGAGGCGGAGAAGATAATCTAGTCCAGCTCCTCCAGCAGTAGTTTTTTGATGAGACTGCCCCGTTCTACGGTAACCTTACCGTACGGGTTAGTCTCATTTATGATGGCAACCTTGAGGTGTCTCAAGGCGGCCCCTACGAAGGTTTTGGAAAGTGCAGAGACATTACTGTCACTGGAAGTGCCCTTCCTGTTGGAGGTGAAGTGGAAGAGGAGGAAGGTGCACTTATAGTTGCTGCAATTTCTGGCTCTTTCGCTCTCTTTATACTTTTGGCCTCGGCGCCGCAAATGCGCTTACGCCTTGGCCTTTGTGCTGCGTCACGAGGTGATCTGCTATGTCCAGCCTCATTCTGAGCGGAAGATTGAGGTAGAGATTTCTGTTCATCCCCAGCCACCGCCATAGATTGTCGAGTCTCAGAATTGGTTGTTTTTTTCATTGTATCCAGGTGTGTTCCGACGAGTAGCAAGGATAGAGTTGGTCACCTCTGGCAGAGCCCCGCATTACCATAGGAAGGCTGATTACAATGAGGTTTCGCTCGGTTCCCCAAGGGGATCGTTCGTAACCGCATATCACCCTGCGGCCATTCTGCTGTCGGCACGATTCCTTATACCTTAGCTTGGGTAGGCTGGTCCACGGTGGCATGTTTTGCAAAGGCTTTTGGGGAGTTTTAGTTCCCCTCACCCTACTTGGCTTCCCGGACAGGGCCCCCAGTCCCTTGACCGTTTCCCTATCCGCCACCTGGTGAGGAGACAAAAACCGAATCTCTGAGGAGGCTCAAGGACATACTAAAAAGTGCATATCAGAATTGATTTGAGGATAGGAAAACCGCTGGCACAAGTTTAATTATATATGAGGGGGACTACTTTGAAGGGGACAACATAGAAACTGATGAACAAATAAATATTCTTCGAGAAAAATGAAAATTCACTTTATTTTTTCTACAGACTTCGTAATAAACTCTTCAATAAACTAGTTCAACCAATATATTTGAATATACCGCCTGAAGAAGTTATTGTATAGTGAAACAGGTGTTGTAGTTTCATAAACTGTACCATTGACTCACCTGAAATTATCGAATTGATTATATTATCAATGGTAGAAGTATTTTGGTGTTATCAATATAACTAAGGCCGAAATGAGTCATTTAATGGAGTGATGAAATTAGCAATTACTCATTCTGAGCTGGAACTGTTTGATTCATATGTGTGTTAACTATGCTTGAATATACTCGGTTGTATTTAAATATTTGTTAAATTGGGCTGTCCGTTAAGTATATAAATAAATGTATTCGCATTTTCAGGGATACGAATTGAAGAAAGAATGTGATCCATATTGGAAAGAATTGCAAACGAAAATCCAAAAAACCCGAAACAATTTTGATGATTTCAGTCAAAAACTGAAGAAACGAATGTCTGAAGTACAGAAACAGGATGAGCCAGTGAGAAATGCTAAAGGTTGCCGAGAAGGATATTTGTTTCTGTTAGAAAAAAGTAAGTATGTTAGTTCTAATGCATTGTTCAAACAGAATACATCCATTGGCGAATAAAATATTCAATGTAATCAAACAAGATCTTGATTCATCACGAAAATATGTGTAGATTGCAATTATTCATTATCATCAGCAGATCACACAGTGAATGTAACCCATTGTATTATGATAACAAGGCTGAAATTAATGTTGATGCCTGGGAGAGTTATGAGGAACAATAAATTAATTTCTAGAGGTTTGCACAAAAGTTTGTAACTGGGCAGCAATTGAGCTTGAAAATTAATCAAAATTTTGATTGCGGTGAAAAACTGTAAAGGGGTTTTCAGAAGCTAATTTTGTAGAAAAATGTTCTTAAAAATGTTGGAAATGCATTTTCTTTAGAATACATGTTGTTTAACTTTTCTTTAAAATTGCTTGTTTGTATTAATATTGTGAATATCTCTTTGACAATTGTATTTTCAGTGATGAGAAGGGATTTAGCGTTAATTAGATAAAATTATCTGGACTCTGGACCCAGTTTAGCCAACATTAATGACCAAAAATGTACTCCCCTAACGTTTCATGCAACATTTAATTTTGTATCCATCCAAAATCCCAGAAAAAAATGGATCTGCAAAGCAGATAAAACTTCTAGTGAGCTATGCACCAAAAAAGCAGCACTTAGTTGTTAGCGATGTTTGCAATTTGTCAAGTTACATGAATTGTTGTGACAACGAATATTTATAACATCAGTACAACAAAGGTCAATACCCTGTATCTTGGGAACATTCCATAACCTTTTTTTTATTATCTCCGGAATACGTTCTTAAATTTTTTCATTGCAATTGGGAAACAACTTTTTTTAAAGCAGAGATTGGCAAATGTTTATCAAAAAAACTATATTTTCATCTCGATGATGTGGTCTTACATTCAAACTCGTGTAGATAAACAAAGTCGGTCCCAGGACTTTTTCAGAAATTTTTATTAACTTTCGATATTCCATCCGATCAATCAAAACTCCTAACAAAACCAACTACAGCAACCAAGTGAACCTCATCAACGAGGGCTTAGTGAAGAAATCAGAATAGGGATTCATTGATCTTCTAGAGATAGAGAGATAGAGATAGAGATAAATGCTAGTCTGGAAATGTCTTTTTTTGCTATTGGATATGAGCAAAAGTCAAACAGTGAAATAATTTTTTTGTTTCTTCAACTTTTTTTCAATAGAAAATGGTTTTTCAGAGTTAAACATATCGTTTCCGCTTTTGAGGACTATAATACTGAAAAAGCTCGACTAAATGCAGTTATAATGAATGTTTCTAGACTGGCTGCTCGTTTCGAAGCCCTTCTTGATAAAGAGGTTATTAGAATTTTGGTAAGCTTCATATTAGGTTCAAGAGTTTGTGATCCCCACACTTGTGTTTGATAGGTCAAAATTGACGAAAAGGCTGTTCATACTTTGAGTTGTAAAAGAATTGCTTAAATATACTAAACACCATCAAGTGTGCTTTGATTTTTGCTAGAATTACTACTATAATTCAACCTCAAGGGATGAAGATAATTTTTCAAGAGTGCAGTAGTTGCTGTTTGGCATTTCACATGTACAAACACACTTTAGCAGCATCTCATTTGCAAGCCAGCTGATTGCTCTGCTACAGCTAAACCCATAGTCAAAAACTTCTTTTCTCTTACAGAAAATTAGCATTGCTATAAAATGCGGTACTACTGCTTTGCTTCCAGTATCCCTCAAATCTTCAAATTCTCTTTAGAATTATTTTTCTGTCTTTCTATGAGCATAAGTAAAACTTTTTTCGTTTAGGTTCAAAAAATTAGTAAGAAAGATGCTTGGCTAACTGTTGCACCGGTTTTGGGTGTGGGTATTTGACCACGCCAGATTAGCTTTATACCGTTTTATAACGGTGTGTAAAAAATTTGTAGTGCTGGGAGGCATATCAGAAATACTCCCAGAGATATTTTCTATGACTTCCATTTTGTCTTTCTCATTTTTTAGTTGTAAGTCGTTCTGTAATGCTCCCAGTTACCTGAATCTTTCGAGAGGCATTAAAATACCCTTGTCGAGTGAAGTATCACCCGTGGAGGTAAGAGTCCTCCTAAATGATGGATTCATCCTATGGTATGTGTATTCATGATGAAAGGATGTATGACTTTGAGCCTACTCAGTGTCACTAGAAAAACCTTCAAAATACCAGATGGACTGTCATCTTAGAGAGCTTTGTCGTGGTAATGTGGGGCTCTGCCGTTATGGACCTCCTCTTTCTAGCTACTTGGTGGATCCTTTATGAACAATGGAGTAATCGAAGAATTCGACTATGGATCTACGAAGGAGGTGGAGTCCAGTAAACGATGTGAACTGTTCTCCTTGTTCATAAGTTCTCTAAGTCCTGATCCTGTTAACAACCTAAGAGACTACGTGTTGCAGCTAGGAAGCAACCTATCTCTTCCTTAAGAGCAGAAAAGCTCATTAATCTGCCTTGCGCCAAATTTTTGAACAGAAGTAGCAGAATCTGCAAACCCCTTGAGCAGGTCAGCAAATGTTTAGGCTCAAACGACGATCCACCCAAACCAAACGTTAAAAAGCCCTGCAAGGCTAAATTTAATATGTCATACGTCATACATGATGGGAAGGTCGCTGAGGTTGTCAAGGTGAGAATCTTGCGTCTTAAACATCCGGCCCTTCTATGCCTGTTGCACCATGGATCCGATCAGGTTTTCAGCATTTGGTAGAGTTCTGCTCTTGCCCGCTGACCTGAAAGGTAACTCACTAAAGTAATGACTTCGTGGGGAGACTGGATTCATTTGGTCAATAGTTGTGAACCACAAAAAATCCCTTCTCGGGTTTACTCACCGTACCTGACTCTAGCTCGGCTGATTAATCGTCGAACTTCATCTTTTTTAGTTCCCAGTTGGGAGTTTTGGAGATTTGTAATCTCGCTCGTCTTCTTTCTCTATCCCATCACAATTGTGTAATATAGCGGATTCGTGCTCAAAGCGAGCTTAAAAGGAATTTTTACATCCACTTCTGTGGGTTTTAAATCACAACTCTCTGAAAATTATTTTATATAATAACAGAATAACTTGATTAGGGAAGACTCCCATGTCAATTTGGTGGGTAGGTTTTTTCTCAGGGTTTTCCTTTCACCTAAAAAGGGAATGCGCTATCTGAAGATCGACTCGTAATTTTTTTTTCTAGTTTACAAGTTGTATATTATTTTCAGAGATTTTATGTTCTGTTGTGTTATTATAATATATTAATAAGGTTTAAATTGAATGGGTTATATTAATGAGGTATAATTCATAGATATTTTTGTTTATTTTAACTATTTAATAATTCGTAAAAGTTCAAAAATTGCATTTGAAACAAGATGACTTAATAAGCTCGGAAGAGTCTTTATTTTATGTGCTTGAATATATAATTATTACAAAATTTGAAATAAAATTCGAAAATCGTATAGAAATATTTTGTAATTACTGAATTGTCCTGATTTGTTTGACATTGATTCATAATTCTGCCAGATACTTGTTTCTCTGTAATGTTTCAATTTGTTCTGAAGAAAATGTTTTTGCTGAGAATCAAATCATGATTCCAAAACCATACTGTACCAGTCCGGCACTACTCTCCTTTAATCGCTTTTCACCAACCAATTTGGGATCATCCAAAGTTGAAGTATAAACATTTTTAACTCAAAATTCGAATTAATCCCTAACGTAGCGAACTTTCACTTCTGGTCATACATTAATGGTTTCATGCTAGTTTAAATAAAGTAGTTCATGTAAAATAAAACAATGGACTGCTTCATCTTATCCGATTTCGGAGACCAGAAAAGTCTAGTGTCGCTTGAAGATATAACTCGGAATAAATGAATATTATCTAAATTATTGAAACCGGTACATGACACAACTTTTGGATGTTTTTGGAAGTCTGAAAGTGGCAAAGAATGGCAACGAGAACAAAGAACGATGATAAAGGTCCCATTGAATACAGACCATCATTTACTTTTATATGAACTCCTCTGTTAAAATTTTCTGGAAATTTCACGAGAAATCATAGTTTAATTTAAAGTTTACCCTGTTAGATATAAATAGGCGAAGTTAGATTTGCTGATGACGCAATTCGGTTGGTGATTAGGTATCGAGAAAAGTTTGTAGTTCTGGTCTGTGGGAGCAGTATTTGTTTTGTATTCATTCTATGCCGATGGTTTTAGTTCCATCTTTCAGTGCTTACCATGGTATTGAGTACAATTCGATTTTTCAGAGGCGTTTGGCACTACTTGGTCAAAACATTACTGCAATTATGACAAGAATAAGAAAATTTTCAGTATGGTTCCTTATAACCAACTCACAACAAAAACAGTAAGTCGGATCTCTACTTGCAAGCCGTATATAGTTCTAATTTTTTTTCGATTTCAGCTTCAATCCCCTGAGAATTTGCTTCTCTCATCCTGTGTTAGGCGAATGTCTGATTCTATCGAAAAAAGATTTTGTTTCGATATACAATCAGAGGATAGACCAGGTGTTGTACTTACCTTTCAGGCACTTTCAGAACAAGATAGGAAAGCTTGGATGGATATTATGGATGGAAAGGAACCTGTAAGAATATCTCTATCATTATTTACATTCTCTTGTATCTTTTTAATTTAAACAGATTCTCGATTCCACCATAAATGAACTTTTCATTGTTTCAACTAGATGGTAATATTTATGAGGCAGGTCAGAAATACCGCTTATACGCTACAAATAATAATAATTCATTCGTGCATTGCGTTCAGATATTATTTGCAGTGAAGTGTCTTTAACTGCTTGAATGACTGTCTCATGTGTCCATAAAGTAATTTCATCTGAACAAGCTCTACTCACCTATTTAACCTCCACAAACAAGTCCTGTGGAGTCCTCTCCACAAACAAGTCCTGTGGAGGATGGACACGTCCCCTGTTTAAACTCAATAAGAAGGTTGTTGTTCTTCAATATATTCATTTTTGAAATAACTTTTTAGAAATCATGATTCAGTTTCAATTTAATGAAATAAATGAAAACACTTTTGTCTTATTTCCACTAGTTATTTCATTTTCACGACCGGTTTCGGATTTTATTCCATTATCAAGTGTAAAAACTAACTAATACATTTGAAGTCTAACAACGTGGTTATATAATGAGGATTTCGAGAATATGTTTACTTATCTTGTGTTTTGATTCTTGCAGATGTTCATACATTCCACAGTGCATTGTCCGATGTGTTTAATAAGTCGTTTCCAGAACAAATAATTAAAAATAAATGTAAAAAGCCATGGGTAACAAAAGGACTGAAAACATCCTCTAAAAACCTGCGCTAACTGCATTATATCAGAAAATTCACAAACGAAACATTTTTTTGAAACTATTTCAATAATTACAAAAAAGTCTATCGATCCACTATCAGTCTAGCTAAGAGGATATATTACAGCAAAAGAATGGGGGAATCGAAGAATAAAATTAAAGAAGCTTGGTCAATTATTAGTGACATAAGAGGTAAAACAAAAAAGAAAAACTCTGAACTCTCACTTAATCTTAATATAATAAATGAGTTCTACTGTTCTATTGCTAAACAGTTGAGTAACACAATTCATGCTCCATATGATCCATTGATCAACTTAGAAAATATAAAAATTCGTGACAGTCTTATTTTATGACACTGACAATGAATTGTTCAAAAGACTTCATGACATTAAAAACAAAAACTGCCGGATATGATAATATTTCCGTTAAGATTCATTCGAATTTACCACTAAATGCTTTAGAAACTTTGGTTGCCCTTATTAATGCCTCATTCAGAACTGGCTCATTTCCTTCTTCCCTGAAGATTTCCGTTGTCATTCCACTACATAAAGGTGGTGATTTAGATAATCCCTCCAATCTGCGTCCTATTTCCTTAATATCGACTTTAGCAAAAATTATTGAGAAATTACTCAAAGTACATTTAGATGAATTCTTAAAACTTAAAAAATAACTCAAAACTATTATAAGCAAAAACCAGTTTGTGTTTCAGGCGGAAAAAGATACAAATAATGCTATCTTCTCTTTTTTATATGAAATTTACTCTGAATTGAATGCTGGTGAAGTAGCCGCCGCAGTTTTTTGCGATATTTCAAAGGCGTTTGAGTGCGTCAATCATAAAATTTTACCAAAAAAACTTTATAAATATGGATGTAGAGGTGTAATGAATACTTGGTTCGAATCGTACCTTTCAGGTCGGAGTTAAATGGTGAGGACAACGGAACTCTCGGAGAACAGGGCCATTGAATCTGGTGTACCACAGGGTTATGTGTTACGCCCTATTCTATTTCTGCTATATATGAATATTAGTTAGATTTTATATTTTATAATGGGGTAAAACCTAAAACCGGTCGTAAAAATAAAATAACTAGTATAAATTAGACAAAAGTATTTTTATTCATTCCATTGAAGTGATCATGAATTTCCACAACATAAACAAGTCATCAATTACATAAATGATTCAGTTTAATATACTCTTTGCTTCGCTCTGTATTTATTATATCTTTAAAGTAGGGTAGCTATATGGACAGATGGCAAGTTGTTATAATTGGGAATTTCCAATGTAGCTATATTATATTCAAAGTTGCAAGTGGTTTATCTATTCCTTCGGCTCACAATCTGCACACTTGTTACATCATCTCCCTCCTATCTTACAGTATAAATTATAATTTTAACTTATTTATCCCCTTTTCCAGACCTACACGACACCAAGTAATAATGTAAGCAAGATTCCAAATTCGGAGGAAAGGGTCCTCGATGAAACAGGAATTCAGTTTGTAAAAAAGTGTATAGAAGTTCTTGAAAGTAGAGGTTTGGAAGAGCAAGGCATATACAGGTAATAGTCGTTGGTATCAAGAAAAGTGAATTAAAATTTAGAACTGAATGTTTCACTTTCATAGAAAAATTGAAATATGTGGTAACTTTTGAAGGGACTAGATTACGGACGCCCGACGACTCGTGTACTTCATTGGTCTGACCCTGCTTCAATTATTGGGAGAATCTTTGTGTTGAGAAATGCCAGTATCTATGTCTTGGACACATTTACGAACAGGGCACATTTGTGAAAACGGTCAGAGTATTCAATTGTTAATATGCTTCTCGGGTTTCGACGGTTTGAAAATATCTTACGAACGAGAACCCTCAGAAGTCGAAACTTGTGCAATCTCAAGATTAACGAGATCTTACCGTTGAACGTGTTCGACAATAGGCAGTGCCTAACCGTTTCATCTGACGCCCTCTTACGGACGAAAACCCTCAAAAGTCGAAACTTGTGCAATTTCAGAACTATCGAAGTCTCCACGTTTAACGTGCGATTCATAGCACGAGTTGGACGATAGGCAGTGAAAATCGATCGTCTGGTCTCTCGGATCGAACCACCGTTTCACCTGACGGTCGATTGAATGATTGAAACAAACCACTTATGCCAACCCAACCCAAAATTGTTAAAGAAATATGAGACAACTGTATAACCTGGTCAAGACTTATTTTCGAAGTATTAGATTAGGTTAGGTTAGGTCCAAGGGAGTGGGTCTATTCGACCCTCCTTCGCAACCCGCAAGAGTTTATTGTGGCTCACACTTATTCACACTCGACCAAATAAATCCATTATTAACGAAGCTGATCTCTGAAGTATAGTGTGTTCAATGAGTTTTACGCTGTTAAAGAGAAACTTCAAAAATATATCCCTCGTAGACTAAACATTGTTTTGTACAGTATTTGTATCTACAGTGGAACAAATATGTTTCAGGGTGGTTGGCGTCAGTTCAAAAGTAAACAAGTTATTAACTATGGGGTTGGACCGCAGGAAAAGTGAAAAACTTGCCTTTGACGATCCATTCGAATGGGAAACTAAGACCATTACGAGTGCTTTGAAAACGTATCTGAGAAATTTGCCTGAGCCCCTGATGACGTACCGATATCATAATGGATTCATTGCAGCAGTCAGTAAGTGAAATTAGGAAAATGTGTGTTTGGTATATTTTTTCACTACTTCATTTTTTTTTCAGAAAGTGAATCGAAACAGACCAGAATAAATGACGTTCACACGTTGCTTTATAGGTTACCAAAAACTAATTTTGAGGTGTTGAAAATTTTAATGAAGCATTTGACGAAGTAAGTTGTTACCTTCTCAAATTTACTCTATAAAGTATACAAATATAACTGTTGTGCATACAGAATATTAAAATATTTATAGTTTCATTGAAAAAGTAGGAGTCCCAGCATCAACCCTTGTGGAACTCCGAGGTTTAACTATGGTCATTCAGGTTTTTTTTATGGGGTATATATTGATGTCTGTGTTTCAGGGATTTTTCAATGAAAGTGAGGTGATAAGTCATTTTCATGCATGGGTTTTATTGAATGTATTTGCTCAACTAAAATTACTGATTAAAAATACTGACACTATTGAGAACTTTCATGATACTGAATTCTTATAAAGTTTGTAACAAATATACGACGTAACAAATGAGGTTGTTAACACCAAACCTCTTCTTTAAGACACTGTGTTAACACGGTCGATGTTACTAATAACCAAAGTACTTCCCGAAATTATTATTTTTATTAAACTGATATATCCAATGCCATCTACTGATTTCACCAACTTAATATTTGTAACTGTGCCTCTCTCATACATATAGTTTTCTGCTCAGCCTCTCAAAATTAAATAGAAAGTGTCTGATATCTAAAGGTGATGTTTCTCATCTTTTGGAAAGCCATATAAATTTAACATCAGGACATGCATTTCTTGTTTACTTTTCTAACACTGCCTAAAAGAACTGGGAAACGGTTCCTTGTAAAAACATTATTTTTACAATTTCATAAGCAATTATGATGTAACAATATAAGAACGTAGGCTTTCACGGCCAGAGTCACGATTGAAGAGAACAAAATCAGGGCTAGTAGGCCTTGGTCTAATGGAACCAATGCACATGCCACTGATTTCTCCCGCAGTGGCATGTGCATTGCCTGCGAGGAGGATGGTTAATAAAAATAGTTTTAGAAATGAAAGCAAGTCGTGTAACTAAATAGTTGGCAAAATTATGAAAAATGAAAAGTTACTGACAAACAACAAATTTTCATTTCTGGAAATAAATATACATTGACTACAATTCCTCAATATTATTTCAGTGTTGTTGCTAAAAGCGACAAGAATCTTATGACTGTAAGCAATTTGGGAGTTTGTTTCGGCCCTACATTACTCCGCCCAGAAGAAGAAACAGTGGCCTCGATAATGGACCTAAAGTTTTACAATATAGTAGTTGAAATTCTCATCGATAATTATCAAAGGATATTTTTCAATGAGCCCCAGTCGGTGTCGCCGAATTCTGTCCATTCGTCAAACATGAACGGACCTACCACTACTACGAGTCCGAGTATTTACGGATCGCCTAACAATCATCTACCCACTTTCAATGCATTTCATGTTGGAAAGGGAGGACAGGCATTATCTTCCAGTTACAGAGGGTATACGCAACCGTATACTTGTGTAAGTACTTGTTTCCTAAATAAATAGTTTATTCATGAATCGGGTAATACATTTTTCAGATTGTATAAATTCCTACAGGTTTTATATTATAGTATTAATTTGTATTGTCGTCATTCTACTTTATTTCAAATGTCTACATTAAAGTCTGTGTATTTTTCAACATTTTCTATTTTATAACAGATCTTCACTTTTTATCCCTAGTACAAAGCTGACTCAATCTGAATTTTTGATAATTTAAAGGATTCTGGAAATACTGAAACTTTAGACAAAGATTTGAAAGATCAACCTTGAATACACATCATCATGTTCTTGAAATTCTTTTGGAATACTCTAAAAATACATTCTTGGAAAGAATCTCTACTTTTTGTGAAATAAAGTTATCTGGGATATCGAGGAAAACCCAATATCACTGAAAATAGCCATTCCAGCAAAAAGTGAAGCAAAAGTACACTTACAAATCAAACAGTTTTTGTAAATTGAAAAGATGGAATATATTGCATTGTGAAGTATTAGAAAAACTGAAAACTATTTCTTATCATTTGCTAAAACAAAATTATAGCCCAGCATCAAACTGAATATATGAATGTTGAAAAAATTGATGGGGAATATTTCTAGATTCAAGTTTCATTATTGTACCATAATATAGGACGACTACTGTACTGTTTATTGTTTGTATTGTAGGCGTATTTTCCTTTATTTTCCATTTGCACTCCTAGGGAATAGAACACTGAATCTACAATGTAGACAATAAACTCCTGAATTTTTTCAAGCAGATCGAACAAAAAAAGTCTGTTTCATTACAGACGGTTACTTCTTACATAGAACCACCAATATCCTCAAGTATGTACAGTGTCCACGAGCCGACAAATGGGGTATATGGGATGTCCAGGAGCGAACTAGTTTCAAACAGGCAGCAACCCACCCAGCAGAGGTTCAAACCGTTGGTTCCTTCAATAACATCCCAATCTGAAACTAATCTTCCTGCACTGCAGAACTACAGTCCTACAAGTTTTCGTAACCCTTATGGTCGACTTGGTAAGCTTTCATAGTAAGAAATTTCAGTATGGTATTTTGAGTTGAACAATTTTCAGATCCGAACAGTGCCAGTAGTTCAAATGAATCATTGTCGTCCACTTCCAGGGATGGCAATAAAATTGTTGAAGTAACACCAAAGAAAAGCGAGAGGTCTTCCTTTTATTTAAGTTATCCGAAAGGTTATAAGTCGCCAGGTTATGTGTAAGTTACTGTTCCATTAATAATATAAACAGTGATGAAAAGTTTTATATTCTCAAATTTTGGAAATGTATTAAATAATGTAAATTTGAGGCGAACTATCTCAGATCTCAGAAATGGTTGAAGTTGGAGGATTGATTCAGTAGTGGCAAAATTTGATTTCAAAATAAAACTTTTTAGTTTTCAACTTATTCAATAAGATAAAGAAGACAGGTAATTTCCAATTGAAAAACTCGGTGAATTATTTCGATAAAAATAAAAACAACAATAAAAATTAATTGGCGCTCCGGGACGACTTCATAGTGGCGCATTTGCTTTTTCAGCTGCAGGAAAACCCGGAAAAACCTGCAGCATCACAACGTCTGAAGATCTTGATCTGCCAATGTGCTCTCTCTCGTAAAACAAAATGTAGGGTGTCTCGAGAGGCTCCAATAGATTCAATACATCGCCAGAGCACTTCGTGACATGACAATTTAAAAACCATTTGATTGACCTTTGTCTACAAATCCATCGATTTGGATCATGTTAACTAAATCATTCTTTGACTTGTTCCATCTTGTTGCAAATGCGGTACTGAACTGTAAGAAAGGGGGAAGTGAGTAGAAAGAGTGTAATGAATAGACCCAAAACTTCTTACATATCTGAAATGTGAAACATTACATAATTTGTTCAATGTCTGTAAGATGTAAAATTACCCAGCATACTGTACAAAAAATGTTAGGGGCTTGATCAGTTTCAAAAAAGCTCTGAAAGAACTTGATAGATACTATTAAAGTCCAAAAGAGTTATTTGATGATAGTTTGAGATGTGTTCTGTTTTCCTCTCATTATTTGTAGTCATAAGGATTATGTTCATATCACAAATTTAATAATGAGGTATTTTACATTATTCCGAGATATATTTTTTAATTATTTTTTATTTTACCATTTAACTTTTCATCATACATTCATAAGATTGTGTCATAATTAATTTGGGAGTAAAATAAACCAAAATATGTATTTTCCAGTATTTCTGCATTGACAATACATCGTAGCCTTCATATTAAAAACAAGATACTAGATATACGTTTGCTTAAATTTTCTGTATGCATATACCAATTAAGGGAGTCATCGATTGTAATACCAAGAAGTTTGCAATGTTCACCTGTTGTATAGTTTTTATTACTTGAAATAATTTATTTTCGAATATGAATATATAAATCCTTTATTTAGCAATGAAACTGCTAATACAATACATCTTTAATCAAATACGACACCACAATGTCTTAGTCAACTAAACTCAGGAATAAAAATTTCAAAGTATGAGTACTACAATAAATATACAACATCTACTTAAAATATCACAGTTGTTAGTCAATATAAAACACAAACAAAATACAAATATAGAATACAAAAAAAAAGTCAGTCAAAATTTATATTATATAAAGACTAGTTCATTCACCCAATAGATGACTCTTCAACTTTCAAACTATTAAAAGCTAACATTCCTGCATGGTAAATGGATTTCTCAGTTCACTTTTTATTTTTAACTCCTACATATATGTTATTACGCGTTCTTGTATTATAGTGATGATGATTCTCATTGTATTCAATATGCCTACTCAGGTATGTGGGTGATAGGTGATTATTCATTTTATATATCATTATCATTGTATAGTAATATATGAGATCTGTCACAGCCATCCATTGCAATTCCTTCAGCATTGCTTTGTTTGGTGTCTCTCTTGGTTTTCTTAATATGATCCTCATGGCTCGGTTTTGCTGTTTTTGTAATCTATCCATTTCATTTTTATTGGCAGTATATATTATCGATGCACAAAATGTAAAATGTGGTAATATAAGTTTGTTATATATTATAATTTTTGTAGATTTTGTAAGTGTTGACGAAATCCTTCCTAGAAAGCTAACATTTCTTGAGATAGTTTTTATTACCTCTTGTACGTGTTCTTTGAATGTCGAGCCTCTATCAATTAAGACTCCAAGATATTTCGTCGCACTAACGGTTTCTATTTCTATATTATCAATATGGATATTTAAATGTCTATATATGATAAACAATAACGGTCCAAGTACCGAGACTTGGGGAACTCCATATTTGGTGCTTCAAATTTCAGAAATATTTGTACGTATTTTTACTAGTACACCTCTGATGAAATAAAATTTCTCATTTATATGGACACCCCAAGCTCACTAAATACGTTAGAAAACTCATATAATAAAGATCCATGCATTGGATAAATAGGAATGGAAAACACATTGGATTTGCATAGACTCCCAGTCACCAAGAAATCTCGGGTAATGAACTAGCAGATCATGCAGCCAAAAGTGCTACTGAAACATCTGAAACCCATGATATTTGTAATATTCCTTTTTCGACGGGAAGACGATGAAATTCTTCATACAACAAGTTATGAGTTTATGGCAAATTTAATGGGAGACTACAGATACGAAATTGGAATAAATGAAGTCAAAAACACGAAGAGAAAAAACTGTAATCACAGGCTTGAGAATAGATCATACCAACCTAACAAACATCTTCATGGTTTCAGGAGAAAGACAACGATTAAAACAACGATTAAAAATACCAAATTCTAAAATGTCTAAAAGATCATCGTGAACATTGAGACAAAATTGTAAAATTTATGAATGCCATAAGGCTGTACTTCAAATATTGATAAAGGAATCGAATCATTAAAAACAAACTAATAGTACAAGGCCAATAACCTCGTAGTCGACGCCTTGAAACCACGAAAAAATATGCCATAAGAAACTTACTTTCCAAAAAAACACTCAAATTACCCAATCGAAAGTCCGTTTGAAATCCTAGTAGATACCTATCAAACTTTTTTGCATTTAGTTCATTAAGAATGCTGAGATTGGAGTCGGTGGTTGCTGTAGCTTTAAATTTCAACCTTTTGAATCTATAGTGATCCGTTCTAGAATCAAGTTCAAATCTTGCAATTTTGTTCCTTGCCATTTCAGAGATCTTGACGTCATAGCAGCCTATATAAGTTTTTCTTTTATTACATTCACTTTATTCCTATTCAATGTTCAATTTGGAAAAAAAAATTAGTTGAAAATATCAATCGTTCCATCACTGAGAATTAGGGTGAGTCTACACTATTAACCGCACTTATCCCTTATTAACCCGATGATTGTTTCTTGCATGCTAGTTGGCGTATCTTTCTCTAGTCTTCTAACTTTACTTTGATCTGTCAGGACGCTGCATTCTCCTTCTTTAATTACTAACACTTCTTCTGGGAGGGCTAGTCCGACATTTAGTAGAGTCAGGTAAGATGTAACTTTTCAGCCATTACACAATTAACACAGAAAGCTTGCACTGCATGGATATTTTGAGATCATCAGCAAAATCTGAATTGAATTTATTTTATAGGAGAGTGAGGACTTTGTATGCCTGCTTGGGAGAACACGATGGTGAACTGTCATTTGAACCAAATCAAATAATCACAAATGGTAAGTATCAGTTTCATGATTGTTTTAATTATTATTAACTATCAACTTCGATCTGCAAACGTTATTGATGAAGGCAGTCTTGAAAAATTTCAACTTTTTTATATCAATTGAAGAGCAATCCCAAAAATTAAACTTAAATATTGGAAAAACATAAGCATACTTGGAGTTGAATGGTGGGACGGTCGCCGGTTGGGTTGACTTGGATGGTTTGCTCCGGTCACTCAATCTTCAGATGTGTGAACTGGTGGCTCGAACCGCAAGGCGTAACGATCGATTTTCACTTTTGAGAGTTGTCATTCATAGTTGTCATAGTTGTCATTCTGAATTCCATTCAGATGTTTATTCCAAAATCTCCTGATGAAATACAATATCTAATTCTATTTAAAACTCAGTCATTTCTCACTGTCCCACTTTCAACATATTTCTGTTGAATTTTCATTCTAATACAAAATTCTGTGTGTTTTTTTACAGTTAAATCATCTCCCGAACCAGGATGGTTGGAAGGCACCCTGAATGGTAAAACTGGTTTGATACCAGAAAATTATGTTGAGATCCTCCCTTGACAGAGCGGATCGTTAACGAAAATCTCCACTTCTCTCCGTCATGGCCTCTGTAGAGCCTTACATCTCAACAATTCTCAGCCTGACGTGACACACAATCCAAGATTAAGTAGGCATAGGCAGAGCTTAGACAGTACTAGGGCTTTGATGAGACAGTCTAGCATAGATAGAAAAAGCTCTACTTAGACTTGTAAGATTTGCCAGTGGTTCAGAAAATTTACTAGGTAAGAGAAGAGTGATTTCAAAAATGCTGCATATTTGAAACTACTCACATTCCATAATAATTCAATTCAAAACATCAGTATTATAAATGTGCAAACTTCCAAAATTGTCACTTTTTGAAATTTTTACAAGCAATCAACTTTCAGTAAAAATTTTACCAATTTGACTGAGACTTTCATTGTTACGGCATTTTTTTTCCAGAGATATTCATTATTCATGAGTCTAATGCCTATTTCTCTTCATTTTGAATAAGAACGATATGGGTTGTCCCAAATCTTATTCTGTCGCCCAAAAAAAAAAATACCAAAACAGTAAGAATGTGCTTATAAGTTCAGACGGATAATTATTAAGCTATAATTGCCAATTTGGATTTCCAACTATGGCTGTGGCTAATCAAAAGAAGAAATTCGTTAGAAACAACAAATTTTCTTAGGGAACTGCTAGATTCTTCTCTGACAGAGCAAGTGTTGGAACAAATTTGATACAAAACCGAAAAATAAACAATGTTTCTGAAATTGCATCATCAATAGTATCCAAACATATCAAAGAAACATCCAATAGTACCAAAAAATCTCTAAAATATCGCAAATGATGAATTATGTCCAGAAAGTATATATGATATATAAATATATGTATATTTTAGATGTATATATTGTATCTATGTGCACATATATAATCCAGATGATTGGCCCTGAATTAATTTTATAAGCTCCACTGTAAAAACATTTTACATTTTCTCGCACAGAAATGGCCAAGTTTTTATCAAGTGTTAATTTGAATTCCAGTGTTTTGAATTTGAATAAGAATAGATGTAACAATTGTGTTAATCTAGCCATGGCAAATTCGGGTTATATTATGAAATATTAATATTTATTTATCATATTTATCAAACTTTAGGAATATTTTCAGTTCGACATGAATAATAATCTAGTAGAAATTCAAAGGTATCAGCCATTTTGTTCTCCAAATATCAATCTTTGAAAGTTTGAGGCATTGAAAATTCCAGTGCTTTGATAATAAAAATAAATGAACATTACAAAATCTCTGAAACTAGTGTTATAAATGATGACAAAATCAATATTACAGTTTGTGATGGTGAAGTCTAGGTGTAGGTATAGTTATTAAAGTATAATTTCCACTAAATCAGAACGCCAAAGACATTTCCAGTGGAAGAAGGGTACTCACAGGTGTTTGCAAGAGCTTTCTCTGATTACACCAGAAAGACTAAGTTGTATATAGAAAAACTTCCATGAAAGAAAATAAGAAACAAAAAATAGTATTCAAAAAGTCAACCGCATGGCTAAATTAACCGTTGTCTCCAATTAACCATCATGAACTTTATAATGATAGCTTTAATTCTTATTCGAAACACTGCGTTACATTTTTTTAGAGTTATACACGTTCTGTGATAGTTCAGACTGGCACACTGATAGAAATTATATATCTTGTATATTGCCATAATATACATACACCATAGCATAGTTGTATATACCTTTCATTTTTATCGGAGGGGATTTCATGTTTTTGTGTTGATGAATACCTTGGAGTTTTATATTGTTTCAACGTTGACGAGAAATTCACATATTACTTCAATGCATTAGTAATGGTGTGCCATTTTTCTCAGTTTAGCCTGTACAGCAGGTGTTTAGAGAATAAACAATTCATTTTAATTTTTTGCATAGTTTCACGAATTTTCAACGAAGAAACAACTTAACAAAGTTGATAACAAGAGTTAGTTATTCCATATAAACATTGGTGATATCCGGATAAAAAAATGAGTGAAATTTCGCTTTTTGGGCTCGCTCTAGTATTGAAAAAGTTTAATTCAACTTGAATATTTTTGTCCGCTGATCACGAATCTCGAGTTGAAATTTGGCACTCCGCTTTACTTTCGGAGATAGGGCCACTAAAGTATCAAAAATCGATAATTTCAGAAACTTACTTTCAAAAATAATTTTGCGAGTGATTCCTTCTTTTCAAGACCTCATGCTGTGGATCTTTATTCACTTGCTACTTCTGTTTTTTCCATACAAATATTTTACTTTCTCAAAATGTTCTTTTTCAGAAAACTATATGATATGTTATGAAGGAGCATATGCATGCCTGGAGGAAAAAATATTGAGAAATTTCAAGTGTACTGACATTTCGTTGAAAATTTGTGAAAATATCTGGGTTTTTAATTTATGTATGTTTAGATGATTTTGTACATTTGATAAATACCTGTTATGTTGTCTTTTGTACATTCGATAAAAACCTGTTGAGTTGTTTTTTTGCTTTGGTCATCTTTTATCAAATACAATTCTGAGCAAATGTCAATCAGTTGTTCATAAATGGAAATCAAATAATATATTTCAGGCCTGGATTCAATGTGAAAGATTGTTATTCAAACAGGGAATAAGTTTTCGGTATCTTGGTATAAAGGCATGATTGACAGGTTCAGTAAAAACTCTTGAAAAAAGGAAACAACTTATCGATATAGCAATATGTAATAAGTACCTATAGATTTAATGGGACCATTCCCTAATGTAACACCAAATTCTCATATCATAAATACACCTATTGTTTATGAAGTTACCTTCTCTTTAGTTTTTTATATTTTCTTATAGATTTTCAGTTATTCTTTTATAAATATCTAGGAATTAGTGTGTGACGAGCAAGGGCTTTGATAAGAAGATGGTGCAAGATGAATTCAAATATCTCTTTATGGGTAGTTGCTGGCTGACCTCATGATTTCAATAATACAAATGAAATGAAATTATTTCATTTCTAATCAAGTATAATTTGGTTATAACCAAGTTATTTAGATTATTTAATTCAGTGTCTTGAAAATATACATTTGAAAAATATTTATAATTCTTATTCAACAGAAAATTTAGAATGGATGAGAATTTTAGAATGGATGAGAATTTTTAATTTTTTTAACCTGTCAACCCATATCTCCTTGCACCAACTTTTCAAATTTGGACAATGGTTTCATGTTTATCCATATATCCTTTCAATATACACATTTATTTGTGATATTTTTATGTATGTTCACCATTAATATATTCTATTGTACAATTTGGTTGCAAATAAATAATATATTTCTATTCTTTGAATTATCATATCTGTAGGATATTTATGTAATGTATATATTTTATTCAGTTGTTAATACGTTTTACTTCATCTTATGTGTAATTGTCATAATTGTTGTATTATTTATGAATAAAAATATAGTGAAAATTGGTCTATTTTACTAATCGGGCATCTACATCGTTATGACCTTAATAAAAGTTATTAAAAAAGTCATGCGCGTGTTTGCTTGAAGAAGGTTGAATTTGCTAGGTATTATTGAAAATTTAAAAGAAGAAAAAAATGTAAAATTTACTTTTTAACATGTAACACTTCACATAAAATATATTTCTTCCTTAACAAATGCCACTATGATAATTTAAATATATTAATTAAAACGGTCATAATAATAATACTTAAATATATCAGTTACAGTATAAAAATATACACTAATCCATATCACATTTGTCGATTGATTTTGCTACTGAAGTTTTTAAGTGATGTACAGAAATTTCAACACTTCAATCGGTACAAAACAACCTCTTGTGGTAATCTCTCACGATATAACCAAACAAATAAATTCATTTTCCAAGCTACTTCTTGTTTTCAACATAAACTCTCGTAAAAAAAATGAATACGGCATCTACGTATTCATTTCAGATGTGAAACCTGGAACTTTGTTTTTATCAGCACACTCTTGACTGATTAGTATCGGTCTCTCAGATTCAGGGCGATGATCATTATTATTGTTGCAAAATTGATCCTCTTCTGGTTCATCGACTCTTACAGAGCCAGTCCATTCACTTTCTGGATCTGAGAAAATGGCAGCATCTCTATCGATAATATCTTCCAATTCATATTCCGACATTTCTGGAATGAGAAATATTTTAGAAGTTAGGTGAGAAAAACTATTTTCTGGGTTTGTTGGCCGTAGTCTGCAGGTTTTTATGCTTGTCTTTTCGTCTACGACTGTGATAGACATCAAAGGCAATGGATGAAATGCTCGGAATGTTCTCACAGCAGATACTACATTGTTGGAATTTGTCTCCAGTTTCCAATAATGTTATAACTGCTGTAAGAACAACCCCAGCACTTCATTCATTACCTCTTCGCTTTTGATAATGTCTACCGCAGTTGTAGACCAAACGTTACTCATAAAACCTACAGACCACGGTAAACAAACTTGGAAAATGGCTTTGACGTTGTGAAAATTCTTTGATTTTCTACACTAGTTGGTCGTCATGATTTGTTTCAAACAAAGAAAAGTATTACTTACCTTCATCTACATTTTGTTGTCCATGCCAAGCTGATTCATCCCATTCTTCGTCAAACTCTAGTTGTTGATTAGTGTCACGTTCATGTGAGGTTTGAACGATTGGAGAATCGCTGTCTGTTACGTCAAAGATTTCTGTTACTTTAACCTAAAAAAATAGGAAATTTCAATCTCATGATTGACTGCCCAATCATGTTTTTACACATGTAACTGTATATAATACTGTATGTGAATATTATGAGATCTCATAAACAGTAGGACATGTATTTTCAACTTGCAATGTTATATAATTAATTTTTTTTCAATACGACAATACTTTGATGATTTCATGAACATCAAAAATTTTTTTTTTTTTTNATAAAAAATTTTTTTTTTTTTTCATTTTGACCCTGGGAGTCAAATAGTAATAAAAATATGCGTATTTTAAAAAATTAAGTGGTACTAACCACAAATTTAAATGTATTTTAATTCAAAGTTTTTATGAAGTTCCTGAGAGAAGTTGCATATTCCAAAAAACAAAATAACACATTGATAGTTAGTTTTCAGTTTAGAAAAAAATTGTTTTCGCTGGTATTTTTTACACTGTTCTCTGAATAACAATAATAAAATCTGGCTACCTGTCCTCAATTTTACACAAACAAGGTCAAGTGATCCGAAGAAGAGAAATGATACCACGTCCACCTATTTTTCAATAAAAATTAAGTAATGGTGTTTTCCTAATTTGAAATAATGAAGCTTCCAAGAAATTTTGAATTTTATTTATAAAATTCACCAAAATAGAAGATAGCAGCAAAAGTCAATACCTATGTCTGATTCTCCAATATCTTAACTTGTCAGAACTTTTATTATTGATTTCGTGAATGTGTAAATTTGAATTGAATTGGGAGAGATAAATTCATTCACAGTTTGACGTCAATACTAGTTCATTTTTCTCAAACGATAACATGTACTCGATTGACCCCCAATTAAACAATGCGAAAGCCGCGATGAAGGAGAGACACGAGACAAATGTTAAGTTTGAGAGTGAGACTTGCCTCCATTCAAGGGATTATCAAGGTCGTAATAAAAAAAAAATATTTATTTGAACTCTCAGGAATATCGAAAAAACGATTTTAAATGAATGATATTATATGAACACTACCAATTAAAAAAATATTACAAAAAATATAGGTCCTTATTAGAAATTTCAAAATTGCAGGTGCCCTTTGGTTGATGATACCCTGTATGAAAATTCTGTGATCCAATTCTAAAAGTACAATGAATTTTGAAATTTTTGGTTCTTCCATTATATCTCCGGAACTAATTAAGCTAGAGTCGATTAATCGATATCATTGAATAGTATCCAAAAATAGACAACTTCACCACCACAACTTGACCTACTTTGTATCTCTTACTGTTTGTGAAATCCCCAGGCATAGATTCGAATTTGAATAGCCCTGTTATAAACTGTATAAACAACAGCGGACCGGATCTCGTTAGAATAGGTTTAGAATCGGCCTCATTAGGCTGTAATGTTTTCCAGGTATTCTAGAGTATTTAACAAGGACCTCGTGATAATTTCCATTTTCACCTACCTTATTATTTTCATCTAAATAATAGTAAGCCATAACTGCTTCTTGCTGTGAAGTAACTTGCAAAATATGTTCGAAAGCATCATTGTCCATCGTGTCACTCCTGTTGACCTTGAAACTCGGCTTCCTTTGCAATATCTCCTTTGTATTGAATTTACGAGCTGGACTTTGAGTCAATGGAATATCACTGAAAATTATCATTGGATTCATTCTCATTGTCAGCGAGTTTATCTCCAAACTTGATTGAAAACAAAAATGATGACATATCATCCATTACTCACCTTCCATCCAAGTTGAGGGTGAAGTTCAAGTTCACTTTGTTCTCGGCGTTCACATCTTGACAAGATTCTACGTCGTATTTATCTATAAAAACAAATATGAATTCATTAGTCGGTCCTCTGAATAAAAATAGTGCAGCACTTACTTCCGCCATATTCGGTTATGGCAAGCTGGCAGGAGATTTTCGCACTGATTTGTTGCCTCTTTCTGTTCACTCTGTTAAGTAGATGGTTCAATTTATCCATTAGGATCTTACTCACGTCCCAGACACCATTACCGACCTGCGGAGCGGCTATCATGAACCTAAAATTGACAATATTAAGTAAAACTGAAACTCACAAATTCTTGTCAGCTGAAGAACATTGACATGTTTGCCAAACATTGAAAAGTTGCTGAAAATAAAAACAAAGAGACATCTTGAAATATAGCATAAATGTCCAAGTTACAATTTTTGTTCAAAATTTTGGGTTCACAAATTCAAGAAAAATATTTCAAACCATATTCCTGAAATGAATTTTTTTGTCAGATTTAATAGTATGTCAATAAAAGTTTGAATCACATTGTAAGACATCCACTTTCAACAATTTTAGAAATTATTTTTAGCTGCGGATTTTTTTGAGAAAATATACATTTCCTTGCATGTGTCACTATTTCCTTATAAAAATATTAATAATAATCAATACATATGCCACAAATATCCCTTCACTATGAATCTGAAACTATTTTTACTGACACTAGTTTTGTTGTCACTATATATTTGAAAAAAAAACTCTGTCTTTTATGAAAACCACTCACCAAAACGCAAAATATTATTCAATTGTTACGACTCTAGAAAGTATTTTGGACACAATCTTTTTTTGAACTAACCTGCCTGTGGTTTGAAATATCTTCCTGACAATACATTGTGAACTAAAAACGATACACGCATCATCTCCTTGTTTTTCTTATCCAAGGACTCAATTCAAAAACGCCACAGGAAAAAACATAAACAAAACTAAACGACTATTCACCTTCTTTCTGTGAACAAATGTTGATGGCATGCATATGAAGGGGTGGATAGGATGGCATTTCCGAGCAATTCAAACTGGTATGACTTATTCTCAAAGTGACTACCATTAAAGCTTTGGAAATCGAAGTTAGCAAACTTCCTATAAATGACTTTTGGACTTGATTGGATGCTATTAGGTAATATCTGCAACCTGCAAATTGTGTTAGTGAACCAGGCACCAATTAAAGCGAAAATGAGGCATAACAAGTTTACAAAATGAAAGTATATTTTCAATTCGGATAAAACCAAAGGATAAAGTCCAATACAGACTGAGTATAATAATTTTGAAAATTAAATGCAATGAATTCGAGAAAGTATCTATCAGAATTTTTTGATATTGTACAAATATGATGAAGAAATTGTAAGTTATTCTTTTGCGATTCATCGAATCTGATCTCGGTTTTAATTATTAGAGATATATAATTATCTTATCAATTGACAATGATACTTATGAGTTTATCTCAAAAGTGTTCGATGAACCACACTGATCAACTTGAATTGACTAGGTTTTTTACGGAATTGTCTCTAAAAATGTACCGAATTTCACACTTTGTACGATTAATGCCAAATCAGCATTTAACTTCTTTATTCGATGCAATTATCATAAAACTATATCAGTTACTTTAATGAATGATCCTCCGTTCATGATTGATTACAAAATGGTAAGCTAAGGGGTAAACAGCAATGCACTGATACACAAAAGCATACAGAAATCGCATTCAATATTGCAAAAACACTTACTTTGTGAATGTAGCGTACACGACATCTGCTGGTAGGGTATACGGAAGCGTGATCACTGATAGCAACTTCATCCCTCGGTGTTTGAAGAGCCAGTTCAGCAAACCGTTATTAGCTTTGTCAATGGCCTCTTGAAATTTGCTAAGTACCGATTCAGGAACATTAGATACCAATGCTTCCTAAAACGACAGAAAATTTTTCAGACAGCTGTCAAGAACAGTGACAGAACCTAGTCATCAATTACAAACATTATCGAACACTTTAGCAAATATGTTCATTTTCATGACATATGTCATAGGGGCTGTTCAAGTATTACGTAAGCATATTTATTAGAATTATCAACCCCCCCCCTCCATCCTCCTTGTCAGCAAAAGTAAGGAAAGCTCTTACCCCCTCCTCCTATGCTCACGTAAACATTGTTATACGCATTTTTCATTTTTCAAACATAGACCATATCTGGGGTGACCAATTTGTAAAGAAGTAAATAACTACTGCTGACGCAATCACCATCTAGCCCCCGCCCGCCCCATGTCATCAAAAATAAGCGAAGCAAAGACTCCCCCGCCCCCCTATAGTGCTTACGTAATATTTGAATAGCCCCATATCCACTGATTTTGAAACAAAAATCAAACACAATGAGGGTTCAAATCATTAACTTTTTTCGAGTGTCTTAGCCACGGTATAGCAGGTTTTTAGTCCTGACGTTTCGTCTACAACTGCGACAGGCATTATCAAAGGCAATACGGTAATGATCGAACTGATCTACTACTGATATTTATAATGAGACTGGAAGTTAGATTTCTGCTTGTTTTTATTCCTGCTCTAATGTTTGAAGGCCTATCATATGAAATCAGACAAATCAAAATTCTAAATGTATTCAAAAGAAAGTGTTATCATTATGTGATCACCAATTTTACAATATCTCCTTAGCTTATACTATTGAAGTATCATCATTATTATTAAAATATCTGAACTACTTTGAATAAAACCTCTATTACAGGAAACACTAGGCAAAATTTTTGAAACGTTTTTTTTTTCAATATCACCTGCATTCAATTAAAAAATTCAAAGCAGGTTATGAATCTTCAGGATCCTTTGGTAGTTGGAGACAAAAAACCCCAACTGGGGATTCACTAGAATTCTAGAGGAATACAAATTACAAAGTACAAAGTAGTAACTTCACTCATAGACGTTGATGGAGCGATCAGTTAAGAATTAATGAACATTTGTTAATGTGCAGTTATGAATATAATAGTATTTTATTTTATAAGGTTTCTTGGGAAAATAAATCGTTACCATCTCACATCAAGATACAATTGGAAAAATATGTCCACTACAAAATTACAATCTCATCTTTTTGAATCATCTAAAAGAACAATTCGTTCAGGCCAGTCTCAACACCCTACACAGTAGGTTAATGGACTGACACCTATCAGAAAACAACTACTCCCCTGGCTAATACCACGAAGGGCGTTGGATTATATCCGACAGGTGTCAGTGCAGTTGTATCGCCAACAGCATATGCAGGAATAACTTCAGTGAAGAATCCTGCACTGACACCTGTCGGATATAATCCAACGCCCTTCGTGGTATTAGCCAGGGGAGTAGTTGTTTTCTGATAGGTGTCAGTCCATTAACCTACTGTGTAGGGTGTTGAGACTGGCCTGAACGAATTGTTCTTTTAGATGATTTGATTTATAGCCAGTCTTCAAGTATACCCACTGACTATACGTGAAAAAAAAACTCATCTTTTTGATTTGGATAACACCAAATTTATTTGGGAAATTAACCTAAAAAATATAGAAGTAACTTGTTTACACATTTTCCATAAAAGATCTGATATGTTGAAACATAATAAATGTGTACAGTTCTTCTTGAAGTAGGCCCCAAAGCATACATTTATTTTTTCAATTTGACTGCTTTTTCATTTTTATCTTGTCCAACTCGGCTTATTTTTATTTCTGTAGATATACAAATAGTTGAATTTTATTCAGTGGCTAATTGGTGACAGTAATACCTTTCAAATTTTGATCATGTGGCCTTAAGTATCTTAATCCCCTTAGAACATGTCCCATATTTAACTGAAAACATCGCTTACATGAAACTATAATGAAAAACATATGATTAATTCAATAATTTATTCAACTGAACTGAATTAGTTGAATCATACTTAATTATAAAACTGGTTCAACATTTGTTATGCAGAAATACATGTTTTGATGAGCCATCACTAGTAATCAAGTTTTCTCCTTGAATGTTGATGTTTATAACCGACCCCAAATTTTATTTATTTCATTCAACTGCACCATTATACACAATCTATGTTATTAACTAAAATGAAACTTACCTGCATGTGCAATTTACATTCTTTACATTGAGGGTCATACTCCAACTCTTCCTCTGATGTTTCGGAAACTACGAACGTTGATTGAACAGCAAGACACCTGGTACAATTGATAAGGTTGTTCCTGTGTAGAAATCTGAGAGCATCATCGAATCCTTGCTTGCACATGTTCGACAAAACTTCTGGTTTCGGAGGAAACAATATCCTTAACATTCTGTATATATTGTGTTTTGAAAGTTCAATGCTGGTATTCGCAACATTAATCTGAAATAAACATATTATTTAATACATTCTTGTGGAATATTGATGTTATTGGGTAGCTGTGAAACACAAAGGACAATAATAATACACCTGTTTATATTGAAAGGGGTATACTTTAAAGAGAGATTGATTTTTGAAAGACAGGTTTTGGCTTTCTGCTTCTCAGTTTTTATACAAAAAAATGAGGGAATCTTAAAAAGAAAGAAATAAAGCAATTGATTTCAAAATGAACTCTTCCCAAAGACGTATAGATCATACAAAGAAGTAACTTTCAGACACAAACTGGAAGATAAAGTCCTCTCCAAACAACTACTTTTATTGAAACAGTGAAATACACAAAAGTGAAAATACTTTCGAAACAATTACTTTTATATGAACATTCAATTATACAAAAAACACTATTTCCTATTCAGTTTGTACCCCAAACATTCGTTATGGAATTGATTCAGATATCATTCACAGGATTGCTACACAATATTTTATATGTAAGAGGTAATATTTCACTTACATGGATCAATCTCAATGGCGGACATCGATGTTTCGGAATGAGACACTTGTCTAATTGTCTCTTCAGCACCAATCTGGATAACATTACAAGATAAGCACTCAATCCATTCATAAAATTAAGACCTCATGTTACGAATTAATAAAATCTACTCATGTCACAGTTTGCTTTACCCTCTGGCAAATGAAAGCCACAATATCGTTGAAAATTTTCAAATTGGCTTGATTTGGATTCATACAGGCATTAATGAGTTATGGACTAATGTTTTAGGATACTTCAAAATAATAATAAGTCTATCTAGACCACTCTGTCAAGATGGTTGTTCTGATTATTGGAGTACTTGGTGGAATGCTGCCCTCTCTACTCTCAAATCTTAAAATCAAATAGGCTTGCCGTAATAAGGCAGAAATCTTAGCTGGACAGATGCAGAAGGCTGTCATTCTTGACTCACTGCGCTTGCTCAGGGCACATGATTCTCGGAACCAATGATCACTTACCCCACGGTGTGGGGAGTGGTCGTTGGTTGATAATGCTGGCGCGCTCTCCCGAATGTATCGAGAGGCTTCGGGGATAGGGCCTGACCAGCGCACACTACGGTGAAAATAATAATAATGGCTTTCATTGATGGTTCCATACAATTACAACCAATCAAATGGCAATATTCAATATCTGCGTATGATAAATCAAACAAGAAAACTCATTACGAAGAACTGGAAACCTCAAAGTGAATTTCAACAAAGTGAAAGTAAAACTAGTAAGCTACAACCAAAATGCAAACTACTTAGACTGAACTATAGTAGAAATATGATATAGACAGAGGCTCCTTTAGTTCGTTTTATTGTCAATCTGTCTTTATATCTTTTACAATATTAGCTTTTATAATGAATTAAAATTCAACAGTGTAAGAATCTGATTAGGGGAGATACATTCACAGAAGAGACTTTACTTCAGATTTCTGGATATTACTGGCTCAATTGCCGACAAGTTCTTGAAAAAAATGTTCCAGTGGTTTATTGAGAAATTACTCTAGTAATGATGTGAAACTTATGTAAGAAGAACGTATAGACAGGAATCAAACCTTTTGATGTGATCTACCCCGTACATATAAATGAGAGAGATTCATGGTTCTCATATATTTCAAATGTACCTTGTTTTAGAATATTGCAAAGATTTAGTAGGTTTCCAAAGACCTGTCTTTTGACATATCGAGATATTTTGCAACTTTTACGGAAATATACAATTTTCAGCTTCAAAATTTTATAGCATTTTGCATAATTTTCGGAATTTAACCAAGACCGTTTCGTAAAAATTGGATTAGCAGAACCGTAATTTTCTACTCTGTGTGGTATGAAAAGACAATTTATCAGTTCAAAATAACCATGAAAGGGAATTCCTTTCAATAATCATTATTGTCAATAAAGTTATTGTTCTCATTCAATACATGATTAATAATTTTGAAGGCCATTTAATAATATTTACTCTGATTCAAAGTACATTCACCTCCACAATGAAAAAAACTGTAAATGCAAGAGATAGTAAATGAATACTCACATGGAAGAGCTGAGAACTGTCATCTCGAGGGCAGATGTCACTTTCGCCGCAAAAGGGACTAACAGTTATGGTATTTTCATCTAATGTGGGTAGATTATTGCTGGCACCGCCGTCCATATATCTTACACCTTTGAATTTTGGTGGTAACAGGCCTGAGAAGAACGGAATGAATGCCGAGGCTAAGAGAGCTTGGATGAGTTCATCTCTGCTATCGAAATGGGATAACTGAAATGAAAAAATATAGGCATAAAAAGACATCTTAGTACAAATGCGAAGTATTTTTTGAGGTACAACATAACATGGCGATTAAAAAACTCTACACAGTCCCTTGAGTAGGTAATTATATGTGTACTGTTTTATTATCATTACCTGGTAGATTTGTTCAAACGAGAGAAATGTTGTTTGTCATATAAAAGTTTGTGATTTCGTGGTCAATATTTTATTAAAATAATAATTGTGAAACTATTACACTACTAAAAATGAGCATAGCCATTTCTTCAACTCCAGAATATTTAAACTACTACTATATACCGAGGGGTTTATAGTAGTAATTTACGAATAGCGCCAACATGGTTGGTTGAGCAAACATCGAGAAATGTTCGCCGTTCTAGTGTGTGAGAGCAGTGTCCGTGGGGAAAATGCTTGGCAGAAACACCTGGTACACAGGCTAGTCGAAAACTGAACATAGGAGGGAAGCTCAAGTGTACAGTGCATGCAGAAATTTGCGTTATCGCTTCCCATTCGGTCTATACACATCTGTCTTTCAGGTGTATGCAATTTTGGGATGATAACATTGAAAAGAATCCTGGCTGGTAGAACATGGTCGAATAGATCTTGTAGTGCCAAACGCTTCGTATCCTACTGTGGCAGACATCTTCAGTGGTGTATCAGGTAGTATCTGGAGCTAACACCATTTGTTGATACTACAAATTCCATTCGATCAACTAACCCGAATTTTGTGCTCTCTATTCGTGACGACGGTCGTGAAAGACTCTAATTTTCTTAGAAGGAATATCAATTTGAGACCTCAACGATATGAGCAGAACAATATTCTTATAGAGGGCCAACCCCCACCCACGTCAATGATAAATTAATAGTGGAATTCGAGTTAATCTCAGCATCTCAGGCAACAAAATAGCTGATGAGTATCTAGACACGAATCAACAACATATATGGCCATGAAGAAGTTGTGGTATGGAACCAGATCAGGAAATGGATCGATAAGAAACATAAAGACAACTGGGAGAATAGACACGGGAAAACCTTTATAAATATGGACCTACTGAGAAAAACTGTAAAAATATTTCAATGAAGCATGAAATAATTTCAAGGCCTCTCACTGGATACTGCTCTAGGCAGGTCTTCACGTTTTATGGAAATGTGAGGCACTAAACCACAGGAGACAAGGAAGGAAGCAAATTTATTCATCTGAAATTATGGCCAGAAGTACATGACTAAAATCCAACAACGGACCTGCACAATCTTGTATGGGAAACAAGGTTATTGGAATTGGTGTCATGGATCGATGGGAGAAAAAAAAACAAAATGCCCAAGAGGCTGCAGTCTTTTCCGAGTATCTTGGAAGAAATGGACGAATTGGACAGTTACCAAATAGCAAAAAACTATTTGTGTTGGGTAATTTTACCTAACCTAATAATTCCTCTTTTTGATGAATAATTAAAACTTGAAATAAAACATCAGCCATTACACCCTGATCAGTTAATACCACTAAGTTTAGTTTAATCATCCTCTTGAAGACGATTACTTGGTGATCAAAACACGTGCCGAGGTGTTGAAATAACGGTTTGGTGTTGGGAAAAACTCCATTAATATTCATTACTACACCAAAGGTTCCAAACAATGCATCACAAGTACCAACCACTTGTCAAATTCTAGATTAGGCGAGCCTTGCTATCTCACATAGAAAAATGGATATAGGCACTTACTACTACGTTTTTTCCATCCCACACCCTCGTCAGCGATACGTGAAGTTTGCCGGAACATCGAATATGCGCATCGTCTGGAAGAAATTTTTCTAGATTTTCCATAAGTAGTTTGTGTATATTGAATGATGGAGAAAAGGCTCCTAGAGAGCGACTTCGGGCTTCTGTTATCACTCGGAGGACATCGCTGGTCATATCACCTGAAAAAAAAATCGTTTATATAATTTTCAAAATCAATAGAAATTAGAATATAATGCTTCAAAGGAGTATTTTTTCAATCTTTAGATCTGAATAATCAACATTGAAGAAGAATACATATTGCGATCTCAGAAAGAGTAGAAAATACGAGACACAACCTCTGAGCAGTGCAAGTATAAGTTTAATTTTTTTTTCGATATGTCCACGATCTACCAATAAAACTAAGATGAAAGACTTATTATTATTGATGGTGGGTCGGTAGCCGGTTGGGTTGGCGCGGGTAGTTTCCTTCATTCACTCAATCGACCACTGTGTGAAACGTTAGCTCAAGCCGCGTGGTCGGACAATCAATTTTCACTTCCTATCGTCTAACCCGTGCTAGAAATCGCACTTAAAAAATAAGACCTCGTTATTCCTCAGCTCGCACAAGTTTGACTCCTGAGAGTAGTCGTTCGTAAGGGGACGGCAGCTGGTTAACGGAAAAGATTTGAATAGGTAGGTATAAACAAAAGTTCTTTGGAAACTTCAATTTCAAATGAAAAAAGTTCCATTCGGGTTTCGTTGGCTTTTCCGGATATTGTTCTCCACTATAAAATAAAGGCTTATATTTGGATATAGTGATTTTTCACAGGTCCAGAATTATCTGGCGGATTTTTAGTCCTCTGCTGTTTTCCTTTTCGGTCCGATTAACTCACATTTTTACAATTACTTGTGCCGTTGAGTCATTGTGTTTGTTTTGCTGTCCGTCTCCAGTTAAAAAATTATGTCTTCTGGATCATGGATTATCACGCAAATATATGAGTAAAAGACAATATTTGAAACTGATAACTGGATCACATTTAAGACACAATCGTTTCTTATAAGCTGGTGATTGAGTTACACAGGGTGTTGTTCATAATTACCGTTGTTTCCAGTATATTCGGTAATGCATTTTCACGAGATCGCTGCTTGCGTTTGATGTACAAGGTCCGGCTATTAAATAACGGGACTACGCTCCTAGAGGGCGCCATAGAGGGGTGGGGAAAAAAACGAGTAGTGCGTTGGGTATCTGGAAATCTTCTCTATTCGCGTGACACAACACGTTTGCATCACTATTGTAGTATTTGTGTAGTAGCGGTTTGAGACGAACGTATTTTTTTCTCGTGCCAAAAACCATGTGTGACGAAAAACCGGAGCAACGAATTAATCTCAAATTTCTCGTTAAATTGAAAAAACTCCAACTGAGTGCTATGAACTGTTGCAAGAGGCCTATGGGGACAATTCTCTATCTCGCGCGCGTGTTTATGAGTGGTGTAAGCGTTTCAGTGAGGGCTGAAAGAGCAAGGATGTCCAAATCAAAATTTAAGGCAATGTTGATCGTTTTTTTTTCGACATTAACGGTATCGTAATGACTGAATGGATTCCAGAGGGTCAGACTGTCAACCATACTTACTATTTGTCGGTTTTGGCAACACTGCGAGAACGAGTTCGTAAGAAACGGCCCGAGTTGTGGAAGAACAACTCGTGGATTTTGCACCAGGACAACGCACCTGCCCATAACACGCTATCTGTGAAGCGGTATTTGGCCGATAAACGCACTCCAGGGCTCGAACACGCGCCGTACTCGCCAGAATTGGCACCGTGCGTTTTTTTTTGTTTCCGAAGATAACATCTGCTTCGAAAGGAACCCGATTTGAGTCGATGGAAGCGGTAAAGCAGAAAATGGCAGAGCTCCTGAAGGCCCTCACCAAAGAATGTAGAATTATTTTTATAATAAAACGTCTCGTTATTTAATAGCCGGACCTCGTAAGTTGCCATGGTGACGATGTGACGTCACTATACGTTGTAGCGATGTCGAACCGCGCGCCCAGTGAAGTACCCAACTCAAGAAGTGTTCTTGAAAGGGATTTGTATACTTTGATAAACCTTTTCAAAATATCTGACGGTTCTTGTGTTGAAATGATAATTTGGACTGATGCTTGTTTTAGAAATACATAGGTATTCGTCGTAGCTTTTATCCACTCGATAACAGGATTGAGAAAATAAATGATTTTCTTTGATGTTAAAATTAAACGATGACATAAATGGTTTCAAACCAAGTTTCAAGGAGAACGAAGCTATCGATACAAACGCTGATCAGTGATATTAACAAATGAAAAAAAAAAAAATCTAACTTACGAAACATTAAAAACCAAATAATTTAAAACAGTTAGGTAATGATACTTGACCTTGATTCCAGTCCATGTAAGGTAAATTAAACAGGGAAATAGTTTTACTTGATCACTTGAGAAAAAAACGATAATTTACACAACCTGTCTTATTGAGGTTGTTATGAAAAACGAAATGTAGAAATAGTAATGATTGAACAGAAGTTCGCTAACTGTACAACTTATAAGGGGAATGATATGCTCATACATGAGAACAAATCGTGATTATTTTCATTTATTGGTATCGATTATATGTAATGAAATAAGATGAAAATCAGTTTTGGTGGCTTTTTTATTTCAAAGAGCTTTATTAACGTTTAGAATAAATCTAAAGCAAGCAACAATGTCTTCAATCCAGCTCAGCCTGTTCTATATTAAGATGAGCAAAAGTCAATTAACAACTTTGAAATTTCAACAACATTCATCAGTCACTGGCTTTCTCTAATAGGAGAGAGCAAATGACAGGAAAATTACATTCTTGAAAGCAGATGAAAGAAAATACCTTTTGTGGCCATTTTCCTAATAGAGTTTTATGGAATGAGTCATCGTCAATTAATATACGACATTCAAATCTGTATCTTATCTAGTCTTTTACTAATTGATTACCGACATATATCAATTAAGAAGGGAACAATTTTAAATTTCATCGATATGATCAATAAATTTACAAGTATAATTATACTTGTAAATTTACGAGAGTATACAGTGCATTTCTTTATTGTCCCCCCCTTTTATTTTTTGAACGGGTCAACTCAAAAAATTGAAATTTGGGATAATGATTTTAATGCATGAATACTTTATTTTGAAGTGAAATTGACAGATGGGCGCCTTCTGGGAAAGAGGGGGGTCTTGTGATACATCTTTTTGAAGCTCCTTACAAATGTTTCACAACCCTTAGAATATAATGATATGGATTTTCATCAAGTATCGGCCAGTTAAATTCAACTCTTCAAACTCGCCTCAACTCAACGTAACCGCAATGTCTGAATCGTTGTGGTATTTTATGATAAAACTTTTTCTTCCTTGTTTACATGTCATACATGCTCAAAGACTCATCATTATCATTTATTTAGGGAAGCTAAATTTGTGTTATTGTAGTGATTTTTCATTTCCTGTGTGTTTGTTTCAATATCTTCATCCCGATACTCATATTCATTTTGTTGTTCATAACTTTTTCGCAATAATAAAACTGCAAGACTTTTGTATCGGCTCATATTTCAATTTAGCACAGGATATGGCATTACAAACACAAATATTACTACATAACTTCGGATTTTTGTTTTCGAAAACGAGTTAAACACACTCATTCTTTTTGAATAAACTGAAATGAATGTGAAAAACTATTCACAATTACTAAATCTTTCTGAAAGATAACCTCTCAACATGAGAAAATATCTTAACATACAAATTTTGCAATCTTGTTCCACAATAGCTACCACTACCAGACATCGTGTTTCTAATTATATTCATGGTTTACTACCACATTCTCTCTTTCTTCAGGTACCTGTTTAAAATCGGTCCTATTTAATAATAATAATAATAATATGTCTTTATTCATCACAATAATAAGTACAAATTGAATAAAATTCAAAGAAATGATGAATAGGCGGAGTTCAGCTATGAGAGCTGCTTTTAAACCCAACCTCGATTGGTATGTATATTTATTATTTTGTATTATATTCGGATATGTGGGAAATTGCCAAAATCTTTTGCATATGTCGTGCCCTATCACTGTCGTGTAAGAAACATGTCTCTCAACCTTTTCTTAAAGTTTCTCAATGAACTTTCTTTAAAGTCTGTAGGGATGGTGTTATACAACTTTGCCGCATTGTAGAAGAAACTTCGAGTAAATATTGCTGTGGAATGCCTGGGAATGAGCAAACTATGCCTATTACGAGAAGTGCCACTGTGTGATAGTGCAACTAAGCAAATGGATTGCTCTTAGATATTTGAGTGAAAGCCAGCCAGAATCTCGAAAGGACGGACTTATGTGATCATACTTTCGGATACCGTAGGAAAATCTGACACAACTATTTTGTATTCGCTGGAGTCGCATCACATCTAATTGTTGTAGATACAATTGCAGTAAGCTAATCTTGAAAATATAAGTGTTTCACAGAGATTCAACTTCAGACTTTTTGATAAAAGGTGTCTACTTGGATAAAGTTGTCTTAATACATTGAATGACGTTTTACACAGATGACTTACATGCTTCGTGAATCTCATGTCAGTATCTAACCACAAGCCCAGATTTTTACATTCATTCACAAAAGGTATTATGTTATTGTTGACACGGATCGACAATGAGTCACACACAATATTTCTTTTACTTTTGGGACCAAATAACATGACCTGGGATTTCTTTGGATTGATAGTAAGATTATGTGCACAGGATACATCATATAGAGTTTTGAGGTTTCTGTTAATAATTTCATTAGCAGGTGTAATATCTTTAAAGCTGAATGAATACAATTGAGTATCATCGGCGTAGTGATGTATTTTACCAAAACTAACAAATTCATGGAAGTCACTAATATAAATTGCAAAAAGGAGCGGTACCAGGACTGAACCTTGCGGTACACCAATTTTTTTTGATATTATTGTTGATTGGTTACCATCAAGGTAAGTTGATTGGGTCCTTCCGGAGAGATAGCTATTCATAATTGACAGTGCATTATCGGTGAAACCAAAGCACTTGAGTTTTATGGACAATAAAGAAGGATCCAAGGTATCGAATGCTTTACTGTAATCAAGCATTAAGAGACATGTAAAATTTCCTTCATCAAGTGATTTGAATATGTCGTCAGTGACGAGAC